TTATTAGCAGACCCCGAAGAGGTGTATGTGTAGAATACGAAGGGAGTGTGACCAAAGGCTAAAGGTAATGTGGTATGGTACTGTAGGTATTCCCAGGTCCAATGTATTTACTTTGAAAGAATGTGAAGCAGTGTTAATGCACATGGCACTAGCAGTGTTGACCTTAAATTTATTTATTAAATTCAGTCATTTGAGCATTTAAGCACCTTTCTAAAAGGCATGTTGCAGCTTGAATGAGACATTCAGCTTGAATGAGACAAATCAGAAAAGGGTAGATGCATTCACTTGATTCTTCTGCTGTTCATAACAGCATAACGGTATCGCTGAGGCTACATGGCAAACTTGTCTCGTGTTTCATCTGGGCCTTATTAAGAAACTTGGCTCTGGCTAATGCACAGTTACTTAGCGTGTCTCCAAGGGCTTACTCCCTGATCTGGTTTTGATGGTTAATGTACAGGTGCTGCAGTCATACCACTGATGTTCTCCACAGAGAACAAAGGCATATCGCCAACTATTTATCCCTCCGCCCGCCTTATTTGAAAACTGCAGTAATTTTACGTATCTTACAGCCACAGCTGTATATCTTCCCTTGAATTTGACCAACACTGATTTCAATGTTGCCTACAAGTGTGTGACATCTTTCCCCTGGAGTACCCCAAGCCCTGCTGTTCTCGGGGAGAAAGTGTGGGACAGAAGGGACTGCCTGCATGAAGTCTAGTTCCTGTAGTCCTAGTAAATGAAAATTCACCCAACTATTTTGCACATTTTAGCTCGTATCTCTGGTTTAAGTTTTGTCACATTCCCACTCTGAACTAAACATAGGTCAGAGAAGGTAGCTGTCCTTTTGGGAAGGAAGCAGCGCATGTTACTCAGGATTTGAGGTAGCACTTCTTAGGACTTTTAGGCAAGTAGTTTGGTACCCAGCTATCCAGCAAGTGCATGGGGAGGAAAAAAAATAATGATCTGTAAAACCCAAAATACTTGGTGACAGTCCTGCTGTCTTTGGAGCGTTAAATCAATACTGAAAGGCCAGTTGAATTCTTTTATCTGTGTAGAACTTCCTGCAATGAAAACACTTCATTCAGCTAAGAAGCTAAGACTGGCTTAACATCCATCAACCCAGTCTTAATCAGGTATGCTCTAGTAACAGGTGGTTCTAAGCATTTTCTCATATTCTCTAGAATACTGTTGTTTGTGTTAAGCTTGCCAAGATACAGTGCGGGGCTTAGATTTACTGTTTAACCTATGACTACATTAAAATAGGCTTATTATTCTCCTGGCAGGAGGCCTGATGTTTGGCACGGCTGTAAATTAGTTGTGCCGATTCAGCTGTTTGCATAGCTGTTGTCTAAACATGTTTGAAGTAATCCAATTAAAACCTCTTAAATTGAATCATAGTTGCACACAACCATCCCATCAGCATTGTTTAACTTCACAGAGGACTCCCAAAATACTGTTAACATCTGCTCAGTTTTCCTGAGTTAAAAACCAAAGTTATTTTTTTTATTTGAGGATTTTTTTGTTTGTTTGTACCTCTTTGAAAGTGACCCTGTCTAAGTGTACAGATTGGAACCGGTTTAGAGTACTGGAACATCCAGTAACTAAAACTCCTGTGTTGAAAGAAGTGCCTCTTCAGTGAAAACATGGATGAATGCCAATATACAGTACAGTTCTCGTACGCAGCTGCTATTTGGGGCCTTTGCTTTGCAGACGGAAATGCATGTATTTAATTCAACATCTATCCCGGTGTCTTTGGAGTCGTTGTGGCCTTTCCTTCTGCCCTGCTGTAAATTCATCTCAAAGGCTACTGGAGTTACAGTAGGTCTTTATTCTTCACTTTTTTAATGCACTGTGTAAAATGAGCAGACCTGTGTAAAACCAGAAGCACATCACAGTGAAGTTAAACTATTGAAAGCTTTCTGCAGTTTTGGGACAAGTTAGGTAGGAGTTACTTTAAACTGTTAATCTCTCAGTGCAAATAAATGAAGTTCTCTTTTTCTTTCACATGCTCCTTCACTCTGGAGGAGTTAGCTCTCCTTCAGTGTTAATCTGGGAAGTGTAAGGGAAGGGTCAGTTGTTTACTTGTAAAAAAAAAAAAAAATCAGAAAAGGGTATTTATTAAGATTTCTATACAGATTTTTTTTTTAGTAGTTACTGTATGTTGGATATCTCACAATGCGTCCTTATTTATTAAATTACTTTTCTGAATTCTGCAATCAAGTTATTTATTTTGTATCTTTTGATTTTAATACTGTATTTTGGCACAAACCATTGAATTTTAAAGATAAGCCCATTGTACTAAGGGGGTATTTCCACGTGTGCACGTGTACTGCTTACCAAAACTCTCTCTTTAAAACAAATTGGCATTTGAAGGCTGAAAGCTTTCTACAGTCCTTGAAATCTGAGTACGGTTGCCTGTGGTGTTAGGTGTGTGACAAATTTATATAGCTAAAGCTTGTTTTGTGGGTTGAAGTTCTGAAAGTGTAAGAGGCGTCGCGAGTTGTATGTTCCTGAATTGTTTCCAAATGCATTTTATAAATAACCTTTTAGAATGTTTTTAATAAAAGCAATTTCTGTCCTTTGGATGTGTCTTGTTTCAGTTTCTTAGGGCAATACTGTAACTGTCTTCCTGGAATTCCTTTGGAGGTTAAGAGGATGAGATTTTAATCCCTCAACTTGTCAAGGGTTTGCTACACTCTGGAGTGGCAGATCTTCTCTGAGAAGTGGCACCGAGGGGTGTTAGGATCTGGGGTGGGAGGGGAAAAACCCCTTTCTTCCCGAGCTGCAGTCTGGGTTGGAAGAACTGAACTGTGGCCGTGTGCTCCCCCTGCCCCACCCCGACCTGAGCTGTGTTTCCTGTAACCCTGCTCAAGTGACAGCCGCTGGCGGCAGTGGAGTGGATGCATCCAGTCATGTGGATTCGGGGGAGACCGGTAACAACCCAATAGCCAAGGGCTAATTTGAGCAACGCGCCCACCTACCACGGTGCTGGTCAACGTCTGACTCAAGCTGAAGTTGGAAGAAACTTAACACGTGCAGTCGGCATGGAAATACGGCTGTCAGTCAGTTCTCTTTTTCTGTGAGTAGTGGACAGCCCAGGGCCCGCTGAGCTCTCCCGCACAGCGATGGGTGCAGGGACCACACAAGGTCACACCTCGAGGCTGAGAGAATCATTGCATCAGATACTCTGTAAGTGAACTGGGAGTAAGTTTGCTGAAACTATGTCAGCCCACCAGTAAGCACAGAAAACCCTCCTCCCCACAAATTTAAAAAAAAAAAAAAAAGAAAAACTACCACGCGCTGAGGGCAGCCCCCAGATAATTCTCTCTGGACCTGGCAAAAGCGGTTGGTCTCTGAGGTACTGAAGTTTACCTTCCCTAGCCTTACCCTAAAACTTAATAATCAGTTTAGGAACGGCGCTCACTTCAGTCCTTTCCAGTTCCTCCTGTGATACTTGCAGGTAAGGGTAAGTTTGGAAGGGAGCATGAAGGTGGTGGGTAAGGGATGGGGACAAGGTCGGCGGAAGCAGAGCCACACAAGAACCTGCCTGTGGTGCTCTGAATGTTGCAGGGAAGTTGAATGTCGGTATGAGAAGGTTCTGCTCTGCTGGGAAGGTAGTGTTGGCCTTCCTTGGGGGAAAGAAGAGGAAAACAGAGATGAAAAGGAGAAAACTCCTCTCTCCTGAGAAACTTTGTCACACCAGTCTCTCCAGGACTTTCAGAACAGACGGTCAGGGTTGTTCCTAGTTTAAAATCGTTACATACTCCTAATAGTATTGTGCAAGGGACAGTCTATTTAGTTGTGTTTTGCAGCCAATTAAACTAGGCAGCGTGCGGTCTTTAATGGAGGAAGACAGGCTTGCTTTCTTACCGTCAGGAAAGGACAGAGAAATCATTCAGCTCCACTGTAGCAGAATCACATCTTTGAGGAACTCTCTTCAGAGAGCCTCCATCACTTCTCACTACCCTTCTAAAACAGCAAATAGGGTTTGCTTGCTATCAGGCAAGAAATTAAGATCCTACTTGATACTAATTTAAGTAATATAACAACAGGGCTGTAGCCTGAAACTTTATGCACTTTGGGTTGGTTGTTTTATGTTTTGGTTTTTTTTGGGGGGGGGGTTTAAAGCAGTTGATGGGGATCTTCTCTTAAAGATAAGATTGTATTGACTGAGTTGTTACTGAAGAGTTTCAGGAACTGTAATAAAAATGGAGATTAATATTTATGTGGCCTACAGAAGCACAGGCATGTTTAACTGACACATTGAGTAAATGTACATAACCTGTCCGGCTGCTGTAATTAGTATTGAGGTTTGCATTAAAATATACTAGCAAAGAGACAGCTGCACCTGGCTCTGTTTTTTTCTGGGATTCTTTCACAATGTGATTTTGTAATGCTAAATTAGGTGTGTAAGAAATGGTTTTCAGTTATCTGAAATATTTTTTCAGTTATTCAGAAATCACAAGATCAAAGGGAAAATTAAATTAATTTGAGGCAAGTTTATTGTCTCAAAAATCAACCTAAGTATACGTGCAAATACGCACGTCCTAAAAAATCAGCACCAAGTGACATCTGCCTGTATGTCCACACAATAAGCGGTTTCCATTTTTTATGCGTTTGCAGTCAAAAGAATGTATTAACTAAATGGGCATGTCAGGGCAACTTTATTACGTACTATTTTTTAACTAAAATCTCTGTGTGAACAGCAAGATTTGTTTTTCAATCAGTTTGTTAGTGCAACATTTAAAATATGCCATGAAAATTACTGCTTCATTATGTTGTTCTAGTGCCACTATGATCAAAATAATTGATCTGTATAAAAATCAGAATTTTAAGAAACCTGATCAGTATATACAGATTGTAGTTTTAGTAAACAGCAGTGTTGTGAGGAGCTTTTGAGTAAGCTAGTCATTTTATAACACCAGGAAAAAAAATTCCCTCACATGTTTACTGGAGTAAGGAATTCTCATCTTCATTAAGAACTCATTCATCGGTTTTCTTTATGTTCTTATCCCAGCCTCTGCAACCATTTCAGAGAAGGCGCCTTTTTGTTGTAACAAAGTACGTGGTGTATCATATTCTAGAAGCCTTCCTGTGTCCATAACAAGCACTCTACAATGCAAAAGCAGAAAGATTACAGGAGAAGAAAAATCAGCTCTTCAACCATATTTTCAAGTAGTAGGCTACAGCTATCTCTGGATAATGGGAAGTCTTGTTTAGAAGAAATATCATCGCACTAGGTAATTCATCAGTTTCTAAAGCTAGGAATGCCTATGTTAAAAAAAAAAAAAAGCCTTTCAAAAATGGCATTTTTGCTTAATTGGTAAATATTCTACAGTACAGTCCATTTACTCTAGAGAGTTAAGTGATCTTAATAGTAGCTTATACCTATACCTTAGCAGGAAAAATATTAAGTTAATTCTGTAATTACAAAGGGTAAACAGACTATTGATATTTAATTACTATCGATGCTCAAGTTTTTTGTGATACCTTGGGTTGTATAGATACAAAGATAGTAGGGTGAAAATTGTTGGAGTGTAAAATTTACTAAATCTGAAAACTGATGCATTTAAAGGAAGCCATTTATTTTTAAAATGGCTTCCCAAAACTTACCTCTCTGAATCCATGATTGTATGTAACCTGTGGGCTATAGTTAATACTGTGCAGTTGTAAAATTCTCTTTTGATGGTGGACTGCACCAAGTTATCTGTTTCCATGTCAACAGAAGCTGTTGCCTCATCTAGGACCAGGATTTTTGTCTTTCGTAGCAAAACACGGGCCAGACAGACCAGCTGTCTCTGCCCAACACTGTTAAAGATACATTTGAGAAGGTCAGGTCAGGCACACTGAGGATGGGGGTAGCAATATAAAGCTGAGATTACTGTGGAGCCTATCTGTTCTATCTTAACAACACACTATACTTCTAAAAAGACTAGTGAAATGTGTTCACCTCATTTTGGAAGTTTTGATTTCTTCTTGCTCAGCATACCAATAATAGTTATGTGTGACTTTTAAACACCTGTGGCTGAACTTTGTAGCATAACCTAGTCTTGCCTTCCACTTCTGTATTCTCATTATAACAGGGACTGTGAGTAAGCCAATTGAATGCTAAACCATTTTTTAATTACGTTCAGTGTAAAAGTTTGGATACTCCTGTACGTTAGCTGTGGTGTATGCCTTCTAGAATCTTCCTCCTGAAAATGATCTGTCAAAAAAATTCAAGTTGATATTCAGTTTACTCCATTTAAGACCTGCCCCTTTGCTGCTGAAAGCTTCAGTACTTGTCTCCTAGAGCATAGAGTCCTTTTGTTTCCAGTGTCGCCCCTCGTACATAACTACGGGTTAATGTTTTACAGGGAAAAAAAAATGAGTTGCTTTGCCTAAGCAAATCAAGCGAAAGGATAAGCTTTCTGCAGTTCTGCCTTCTTTCGAGGTTTGGTGGGTTTGGTTCTGGTTTGTTTTGTTTTAAATTAAATAAATGAGCACTGATCTATCCAAAGCTAATTAGGTGGTGCATGAATTGCCCCCCTGCCTTTACACCTACTCACATACTTTAGCTGAAAGTAGTCTACTTCCTTGGCTTCCCATACAGCACAGGCCATAGGACTTTATACAGTTGTGACCAGTTGGTCACCTCGGAGAAACTTGTACTACCAGAATACTTCTACTTAGAATGATGGGAGAAGTGTCATTTTTATACTGATACTTTCTGAAGTAAATTCTCTGGAAGGAACACATAATTTTACAGTACCAGAAAATAACTGCATTAGGACTTTCTTGTTCACGTACCTGAGATTTTCACCACCTTCTGAAATCTCATGAAGGAGCTTCTTTGGGAGTGACTGGACAAAATCCTTTAAGTCACAGAGTTCCAGTACCTCCCACAGTTCAAAATCAGAGTGTTTTCCAAGTGGATCCAAATTTGACTGCAGTGTCCCAGAAAACAAGACAGGGTCCTAAATAACAGCAGAACGTGAGTGCAAAGTTCCAACACAAACCTAAAACAGTCTGCCATAAATCCTTACACTAACATAGGGAACTGGGACAAACCATTTTGGAAATGAAGCTTTGCAAGGGAAATGGGAACATTTTGAAGCTGGTGGATAAAAAGACAAAAATCATGTGGGGTCTCAGTGTGCTCAGTTCTTCATTAAGGTGAAATGTAGAGAGCAAAAGACTACTTCTGCATTCTCTGTGCTACCGGTTTTACGGCTGACTGAAGACCTGCCCAGCACCCAGCAAATGCAGCAACATAGGCATTATTACTCCTGTCAAGTTTGTGAAGCACTGGATACTACATTCATAAGCACTGTTAAGAAAAATTAGAAGGCTATGATTAAAAGTCAAATATTCTTAATTTCCTATAGGAAAGGTGACATATTCAGCAATAAAACTGCAAGCAATTACTGCATAAATGAGCATCACTAGCTTCTGTGCACTGAATACAGCAGGGAATGTCTGGAAAAGTACAGGTAGACTAGTACATGCTGCGATGCATATGGGTCATATCCAGCACTTACGACTATAGAAACAACCATTCAGTAGTTAAGTCTATTTTTTTTAGATTACTTAAAAAGGCAAATTTAAGAAGTCACTACTTGACAACATATGAATACCTGCACAGAATTACAAACAGAACTGACGTTTTTAGAGGCAGTGAACAGACACCTTGACTCAGTGCAGTCATAGTGGTTGTGACCCAATAGGTAGACTGTAAACGGCCAACAACATTCACCAGCAAGTTACATACAAGCGGAACAGTGATAATTTTGAGGGAGCTACGTGACTAAAAAGGACTGTTAAAATGGTATGAGATCTTGTGCATATTCTTCATTTAAACTTCATGTAATTTGCATTAGAACATCACTAAACTATTTTGCAAATCCGTACTTTAATATAATTGTTAAAAACTGTTTGTACGAGACATGACTGATCTGAAAAAGTATTTGCACATTGAAAACTTTGGGATCTTGCCATGCCCTTTTTCTGTCCCACACTTATCTTCATTCAGTTCCATTCTCCCAACCTACACAGTTCAACACCCCAGACTTCACCTACTCTCCACAAGCTCCACTCTCCATTTTTCCACCCTTCCAGTTCTAACTTCCTTGTCCGATCCCAGCTTGTTAGTTCACTGCTTTCCTGTACCTCTCTCGATTTAGTTGCCTTGGTGTGGATCCAATATACTCCGTCCATAGTAAACCACACCTGCAACTGCAGTTGTGAAAATACTGTGTAATTCACAACCAGTCAGATGCTGTGAAGATTTGTAGAGTATTAGCTGCTTTAAACAAGAAAAATTTTACAAATAAGCATGTATGAATCGTGTTTTGAAGTCCTGCAGCATAATCAACTGGTTTAGTATTGTCATTTCTGACCCAAAAAGCTGTATCAAAAACTCAATTTATCATTCTCCTGAGCAAATATATTTCTCAAAGGAAAAGCAGCCATGGATTTGAAGGAATATATAGATTTTTTCTTCTATTCAGATGATTCTTGGAAAGACAGAAGCTATTTTGGTTTAAATATTAGCCTTGTCTCCATGCACAATCTACGGCAGAGACACACAGGAAATATTACCAGAGTTAAAGCTCCAGAAACAGTAGGAAAACAAAACAAATCAAAAAGACCTTCCTTTGGAAAATGTCAGATAAATTTATTATAAGTGATGTTAACATCACCCATGCACAAAAATGATTTTATGAATGGCTTTCAGGGAATATGCAAAAAGTCTTCAGGTGACCACTAAATTTGTGTTCTGGGTTTCACTTTACCCTAGAGCATTTCAACGTAAATCAGTTTACCAACATGAACACAATCCTAAAGATATGTGAACTAATCTTGAGTTTCCTGCCCTGTTCTGAAGTAGGCAGGGACAGCTTTACATGATAGACCACAGCAGATTAATTTAAATACATATTACATGATTTGTGTGTACATCACTTTATTCCCTACACTCTTCAGACATAGTTATTTTAAAATATTTTTGCCTTCAGCTGGGACTTGAAAACACCATATGTAGCTATACACATACAGATTCTGGAGAATATGAGTTATTCTAGCCGTTAAACTGAATCTGTCATAATAAAACCTAATGTCATACTTGTGGTCTCCCTGTTTTGAGGCTTCTTCCATATAATTGTCAACATGCAGTTGCAACATTTTTCAGGATACCATTACGCCAGCAGTACTGAAGATTACTGTCTAATCAAATAGCTGAGATTTTCAAAAATTCAATTCTAAAATATGATAGACCACAACAGAGCCTGTTTTCAAAGATCAGTAAAATTCTATTGGAGTTTTATGCCTCTGCCTTTTGGCAGCCTGTGGACTTTGGGATTATAATTTCTCCAAAAAAAAGTAAGTGTCTTGTGTTAGTCAAAAAAAAAATAAAACGGTTATCTCTAAAACCACATCTCACCTGTGGAATAATGTTAAGATTTCCACGCAGGTCATGGAGTCCAATAGTCGATATATCAATTCCATCGATAATTATTTTGCCTTCAGATCCCTCTAGAACTCTAAACAAGCAATTTGTGAGTGTTGATTTTCCAGCTCCTGTTCTTCCAACGATTCCAACCTGAAACAGAAAGTTTTCTGATAAAGACTATAACTTTCCATGCTACACATTCTATATGAAAAATGATTAGTAGAATCAGTTTCAACGTTCCGTTCAAAACTTCAGTTTCTTTCACCAACGTGCAATCCTATAGGTAGATAAAAGTGTTCAAAACTCACTTTTGGAACAAGTGACTAACAATCACAGCTCCCCCTCAGAAGCTGTACAGCCTATGCCTGGTTCAGTGGGAATCCTTTCCATTTCCCCTCCCTTTTGTCCAGCACTCCTCAGCTCCTACCAATGACTCTACACTAGGTCTTGCTTGGTGTTCCTTGATCCCAAGCCCGAAGTTGATTAGCACCAATCTGGCATCGTATTTCTCTACATAAATATTCAGCACAGTGGACAAGAGGTTTAATTTCAAATTTGGATCTTCCTTAAAACTGCCAAATTCATAAAACATTATCTGTTTCTTACAGGGATAAGAATTTCTACATAGTAGGAGAAAATACTTTTCCTTTTTTCATTTGTCTTTTCTTTAATGTCTTATCCAGTTAACATCTCCTGTTCAAAATCATCTTGCTTTATCTAGTATTGGAGTCTCCTCGCAGGAAATCTTTTTTGAAGTAGAAAGTTAGGAAACAGAATTTTATACCTCTGATTTATTTCTTATTATATACAGTACCTTCTCTTTACTCTGTGTCTGAAAAGAGACATCATTCAGGGCTAAACCAAGATCCTTCCTGTACTGAGCCTTGTAGTTAACAAACTCTATTATTCCTCTGTCGGGCCACTCCAGTGGTGGTCTTTTTGACATTATCCATGGTCCCTGTAATTAAAACCATTGGTATTTCACTATATGACAGTAAAAACGTTACAAGTTAATAAAACCATTAGGAAAATTATATATATCTTTAAAAATCCCAGCAGGTTTAGGATAATTCCAATGTAATATAAGGGAAGGAGAACCTACTTTCATAAACACTGGGCAGAAACATCCCAGCTGGGTGTTGTAGAGGTTTTGGTTCGTGGTTTGGTTTTTTTTTCAACATCTTATACACTCATTTAAAAAAGTAAACTCAGTTTAACTGGGTAGTTGCTAATAGTCTGGTGTCTGTTCCACCAATTAACAGGAGCTGAATTTAATCTGGCACCTCATCTCCCAGATATTTAACATGCGTATTTTATGAGAAATATTTGGTTTAAGGAGTAGAGCAGGAGAGAACAGAAAAATGTGAACAAAGGTTAAGAAACATAAATGTGGAGGAAGGATAAAAGAATGGAGAAGAGTCTTGTTTCCGAGCCAGACCAAGGCTCTTAAGCCCCCATACTTGACATGGGCAGTACTTTCAGAAAAGCACAATAACCAAGGCAGATCGGTTTGAAAGAAATGTCTCTCCAGACATGAGGTCAGTAACAGTTAGGGGTCTGACAGGCCTCTCCTCCTCTCTTCGCCTCTTAAAATGCTCCTTTTGGTTGCACATAGCATAGAGAGTTCACCTGAGCTGCAGCTGCATTGGTCTTACTAAAAAAATCTATTGCTAAGAAGGATGCCAAGAAATTTACTGGTCAAAATAGCAATAAAACTGCTATGACTGTAAATGTAATGAAGAAGCTACATATTATTCTCAATGTAAAAAAAAAAAGATAAAATATTTAATAACAAATTATAACCTGCTATTACCACTCACCAATATTAAAGTCAATCTAAATTAGTAATTTTATATGCACATAAATTAAATATTCAAGAATGCTCACCATTTCAAGAAGAATGCTCACCTCTTTATCCATTTTTGCATATTCACAAACTCTTTCAATTGAAACTGCATTGGTCTCGATTTCACACGCTTTACGCACCCAAAAATTTAGACTCTGAATTATCTGGTGAAATAGTTGCATCATAGAATGTAAAAATTTGAGTCTACTAGAATACAGCATACTGATTTCAAAACTTACCGTGAATTTCATCATTTCATAAGCTGGATGTTTAATCACAGAAGCCGAAAAGTGTACAGAAAATGATGGCATGCCAAATGAACTATCACTCAGAAATTCACTGATCTCAGCCTTCCTCTGAGCACTTCTTGTCTGCTTTCAGACTGCCCAATGGCAGTTGTAATTTTTGTGAACATAACAGCTCCAGAAATCTGAAACTACTTCAGGATCAATAGAAAGCGCACAGTAATTGTATGATATGTTGAAAGGAAAAACACACATGGCTCAAATTGTGGGTACATTATTGCACTACTCCCTAGGTAAAGTAAGCTAGCAATATAGAACAAAGAATTTGTAATGGAGCTATGTATTTGGTTTACCATGACTGCCAAATTTGTCATTGTCATGGGAATGCTTCTGCAGACAGAATTGGTACCACTTCCATGGTACCAATTCTGTGGTTAAACATTCCCACTTCTGTAGGAATGAAGTGAGCCAAAAGAATTTGAGTCAACTGTTTTGAGATGCTGTATGTGACTAAATAAAGAATGGTGTCAATTTGACATCAGATGAAGGTGAAAAACTGCAGTACCTGCGACTGTCATCACCAAGTATATGATGATATAAGGGAGACTGTTCTATCTCTGAGGAATAGAAAATGGAACTCTTGTGAGTTGAGGGTGATGTGGATATGCCGCGACAGGCAATTGTCTATATAATTTTTTTTTTTTTAAATTTCTATTCATTAGTATCTGTCAGCTGTGTTTCTGAAGCACTTACCACAGTGAGAATCTGGACGCCACTAGACTCCTAAGCATCACAGGATTAAAGAAATTTGGATGCTTAGTTTGTTGTATATAATACTTCAGATTTATTTTAACTAGCAACTTATCAATACAGCTTACCTTCAAGACACATTTCAAGTGTGGCTCACGTATCACTTTTACAAGGACAATGCCAAAGTAAATTACCTTATTAAACTTTTAAGTAAGCTTTCCTATATAACGTTCAGTAAGTGAACAAGAACAAGAAAACAAATACAAAGTATGGTTGTACCTGACTAGGCTTCCTACTTGGTTTAACAAAACACCTAAAAATATACCATACCTAGTTTCATTAACTTGATTTTTAAATATTTTAATAATTATTATTTATTCTAAATTCAGAAGTGGAAAATAATTAATGGGAAACTTCACAGAATTAATGGAATTCAAAGGAAAACTCTGTTCTCATGTTCTGCCCATAAGATTTATTTTCATTGATGCCACTGTGTATATTCACCTACTCAACTTCATTGTATGTATTCTTCCCTTTTCACATGCAATGAGGTAGCAGCAAAAACTTTATACCATTACTTACATTTAGAGCATAGGATATTGATAAACCCACTGTAGAAGAACTCACTGTATTTCCAGCCAGTACCACAAAGAGTGCAGCAAAGAACACCATTAAATTTCCCAGAAATTCAAGCCTGACAGATAGCCACCTGTAGTAAATGAAGGCAAAGAAAAAAGTGAATTACCTACAAAATTTTTCGTAGTATAGTGAACACATTGCTAATATAATGACTCTTTGAGATCGTTATATTAGCAATTTACCCCCTTTACAAAAGGGGTAAGTACTATAATTCCCATTTTACAGATAGACTGGGGAGAGAATATGACTTATCTAGAACTGGTAGCACCTCTAAAAACAAAATGGAGGTCTCTCAACTCCTGGCTAGTGCTCCCTTCACTCGTCATACTGCTTTCCTGCTCCTCCTATCTGGAAAAGACTCAGGTATGTGACTGAAAACCAGAACTAAAAATCTTCTCCTTGCTAATCTCTGCCTGTAACTGAACTGAATCACAAAGGAAGAAGAGGAAATGGACTTACTTCCTTAAACCCAAGATTCCACTCTCAAGACCTACCTGGTGCCTGTAGGTACAGACATCAGGTTACTGCCATATGAACAACTGAAATATAAATTGGATTTGTTCATAAACAGTTCCTTGTAAGAGGAACCGTTAGCTGGAACGTACTACAGTCTATGCTCATGACCTATTGGTAAACTTTTTTTTCTCTTCTTTTTTTTTTTAAATATTCTCATCCGAGACAGCATATGTATATTTTCTATAAACCTGCTAGTTTCTGGTACATGAAGAAGAAAACATCCTCGTGCTGAGACATAATCTATGCATTCATTACAGAGTGGGGGATAAATTGTTCTTGTCTTACCGTTTCTCAGTGGGTTTACTCTGACTAAAGGTAAACACTTGGTTGTGGAATTCTACAGAAGAAGGTCTCAGTCACAGATGCACAACTGCTGTAAAGTACCTGTTTGAGATAATGTTGTTGTAGAAGTAAACCAAGTTCTCATACACAACGTCGTTATTTTTTCTAATGAATCTCTCTTGGTGGCCAAATGCTCGAATTGTTGATCGCCCTACAAGAGTCTCACTGAAGTGGGAGAACACAGGAGAATGCGATGCTCCTGCTAGCCGTCGAATTTGTCGTGAACTGGCTATGTAGTATCGCTAATAAAACAGTAACAACAAAACAGACATTTTCAGTTGCTACAATTTCTTTTACATTGTTTAAAACATTTGCCGTATTTATTTCCGGTTAAGTAATCTGTTAAATAATTCCTGTAAATTTTGAATATGTAAGTGTCTACACAGAAAAAAAAGATATTCACAAACAGTATAGAAAAAAAGCAATCTATCTCTTGGGACACACCAACATTGTAATGCTGACATAACTGCAATCTATAAGTTACTGGCAAGGTTAAAATAAGAGAACGTTATTTCTGAATTCTACAGAAAATGTGCTATACCACAATAGGGTGTGTAACAACCAACTAAAACTTCTATGTAAACTTTCAAATTAGAATGTTCTGCTTCTTTCTCAGATGAAAGTCAGCCTTTATTTCTTCAATGTAATGATGTCTGTGTTTAAATTCCTTAGCAGAGACTGAATCCGGGCACTCTTTTCCTTCCTCTGTATTCTTATTTTAAGAACCTTTTAAGGTCTTTAATCACAGATCATACGTTGAGCATCAAGAAACAGGAATGCAGCCATTAGTCTTTTCGAAACATTATTTTTTGGTTTCTCAGTAGTGTAACTGACACTCTAGATAAAAAATAGCACAGGCAGTTTAGGCATCATCCTATTCTATTTTACATCTGCTGTTTCACAGTTACTCTTCTTCAACTTTTAACTTTCACTATAATATACACTCCATTTTTCAGGTGACTTCATCAAATTTCTTGGTGGGATCTATATCAATATTGTATCTTCCTAAGAAAAAGGAAAATATAAAGAGAAGAATGCAAGTCATTGAAAGTTCCCAAGCATTACAGGATATATTCAAGAAGTGTTCTATTTCCCTTTTAAGAGGCCAGAAGATTTTTTCTGAAATAAATTTCAGGTGTGTTCTGTATATATACGTTTGCGGTTCTTTTCACAATAAGGAATAATTTAAGCCTGTTTCCTTGATTGTTTTGGACATTTCATCCACATACGTCTAGAAATCCCTATAAAAGCTTAATGCACTTACTTGGATAGTAAAATAAAAGTATCCCAAGGGAATAACTACCAATATGAATAGCGGTGAGGCAGATGTGATAACTAGAATGGTTCCAATTACATCTAGTGTACAATTCAGCCAAGTTCGTAAGTAGTAATGGAAACGTACATCCACTATAAATAAGTCCTGTAACAACACACAGAAGAATCAAGATTTTGTGAGTAAATTCTACCAAAAACTTTGAGAAAGCATCCCTTAAAAATGGAATCATACTAAAATACCTTCAATAAAAATTAGTAGGATCCCCTCTGATTACATCCTAATGAAATGGGTTCATGTATTATTATTATGATTTGTCTAAAAGCGAAATAGACATAATAGCTTTTAAACTACTCACGGTATGTCAGAGAACAGGCTCAGATTGTGCGAAGTCAGAGACAGCTCTTGTTATTTTGCTACTCAGTACTATTTAGCTTGCATAAAATGTATCAGACTGAAAAGGAGGCCAGGAATTCAAATCCCAACTCTTGTATACTCCTGTTAATAGTTCTAGAAGTGTACTGAAATATTACTAATCTCTTACTGTACATGGTAAAGCTTTTTCAAACCCAGTTTATAATATATTGGCACCAAAGACTAGGGGCTTGAGTGAAACCTAAATCAACTGATCTTTTTGTGTATTTCACAATCACTCTTGGGTCTATTCTAGAGAACACAGCCATCAACAGTCACTGTATTTGAAGTAATTGGTAATGCAGTGCAACCATCTAGTTATGATAACAGCAGTTAAGCATTAAACTCATAGCAAACAACACTTGTTTGTGTATTATAGGTTCCAATTAAAACTGAAACACTTCAAAAATAGAAAATAACATTCACTTTAAGTTTATATACCTCTAAGAATGTGAACTTAATGTATTGATTGGTTTTGACAACAACATTTGATTCTGATATGCAATATACTATTGAAGAAAAATGCAGGGTTTTTTTAAAAACAGATCAGGTTTAGATCTGGTAAACTCATTGCACTGCAGGAACGGTCTTTGAGGAATGGCCTCCTAATGATCTTGGACAGGGTCTATACAACTTCTAGTAATAACATGTTTTGATGATTTTGTAAGAAAATAGCTTGAGACAGTTCTTTTAAGTGTTTATGCATTGAAACAGCTTTCTGTCACTATATACTGCATTCATTGACTTTGATATCTTTAAATTTTCAGTAATACTAAATGGAATTAAATCTGTAGTCGCTCAAGCTTCATTTTGATAAAATGGAAAATACACACAAGTTTTCCCTTTACCTTTGTGAATCTACTGATGATCTGACCAATTGGATTAGTTTCAAAATGCTGAAGAGGAAGATGCAGTACATTGTCTAACAGCTGATGATGCAACGCCCGAGAAGCAGACAGGGATCCCCTGGTGAGGACATAAGCACCGCAGCAAACAAGAAGACCTTGTGAATGGGTAAATTAAAAGACAGTATGAACGGCTGGGGAGGGAAAGGAGATGGAGCTTGTTTCTGTCACTGTTTTCTACCACAGTGAGCAATCCAACAGTCACGTCTTAGTTTTAAAAATGTACATCTTAGTACTTCATAAGTATGTTTTTCCTGCAATTAAGTCTCTCATGCTAGCATGCCAGTACGCATCAACACAGATTTCCTTCCTCACTGAGATGCCAACATAACTTCACTAGGTTACAATTGGATGTCCCAAGAATTCACAGAAGTATCATAAAATTAAATAGCATGTTCTTCTACATGTCTGCATATCTCTTCTTCTCTCCCCAGGTTAAACTACTATACTGTGTCGTATACAATTCTGCTTAGGAAACAATCAGCATTATTTCTTTACTAACACACATTCAGGCAGATCAAACTTGGCAAATGGTGAGAAAACAGTCATAAATGCTCATACTTGCCTTGTGTAAATCCCAGAAGCCCATAGATATGAAGTTTATAGTTTTGTGATTGCTTCCATTCAGTGAAATCACTAACTTTTGCTGTTTCTGCAGTCCAGGTGCTAAGCCATAGATTTTGTCCAATGGCTAGTACATTTTGTCCTAAATAAGCAGCTATGGTTAGCCACATCCATTGCCAGTTGAAGGCTTGGAGGTATTTCAAAACAACTGACATTTTCATCTACACATATACATATAAAAAGAAAGAACATGTACAAAAAAAAAAGTGTTACTCTTAAAATCATTATGATTGTTGAAGGCAAATACACATTATATAACGGGTACATTAATTTCAGAATAAATCTAAAGAATGTCTTAATTAAATCTAATAACTTCAGTATATAAAATCATGCTATAAAAAGGTTTCCTCTCCCACTACATTCTGCTCTTTAATGATACGTATCATAGGCAATCTTGCTTGTGACACTTTACAGTGTTAGACTTAAAAAAATCTTATATATGTAGATTATACAAAACAAACAAACCAAAACAAAATTACAATCAATCAAACAAACCAAAGTGGAATCCCTGAGCAGTCTGTATGAAGCAAATCTTACTGTATTCATCAATCATAGACTCATAGACTCATAGAATCATTTTGGTTGGAAAAGACCTTTCAGATCATCAGGTCCAACCGTTATCCTAACACTGCCAAGCCCACCACTAAATCATGACCCTAAGCACCACATCTATACATTTTTTGATCAAGGGAACTAGAAACTTTAGAACTGCCACTCTGGGCTACTGGAGCCAAGGAAATTAGTGTCAGCAGAAGAAAGTTCTTATCCTTGGTGTAGGTAAGGACTAATGCGGCCAAACTCAGCTAGGCCACTTGAAAGGTAGGACTGGTAGGGAGCAGAATAATGACAGATTCTTGGATTTCATTACAGGGTCTGGAGTGAAATGAGCTCTAGCTGGCACAAATTCTTCTGTCTCTTCTGCAGACTCATTATTTTCAAGCACCTATTTCTACCATCTTGAGAGAAACTCATACCTTCTTCCCCTCCTTCTTATTTTTATTAAACTATAGCTTTCCAAGAAGTTTTGACCTTCTCCATACTCTGTTTCATTTGTTCTTTTCCCTCTCCCTAGCAACTGGCAGATTTTTTTTTTAATGGAGACTGCAAAAAGCATGCTTCTAACATAAAGCAATACTGCAGCAGTATTACCTTGCAAAATTTATAGTCTTTGCTCTAGCAAACAGGTATTTAAACTTCCTAAAGGTAAGACAAACAGAATGTTTTTCTAACAGAGGTAAAAGCTTTTTTTAATCTTCTTCTTTCGCAAATATGCAGAATAGATTGCACCTAATATGAAAATACAGCCAGTAGTAGATCATCAAAACAGAAAATCTCAGACTACATACTTAAGATTTCGTAAAAAACTTGTAAGATTTATTTTAAATTCAGTGATGAGATGCCAGGCAACCTTAACAAGAAACAGAAAACTGCAATTGCAAACTAATACATTTTTATAAAAACAAATATCAAAGCCTTTTCTATTATTGATACTTACGCCTCCAGTGGCAACTTTTTCTTTATTGTTAGTGAGTATTTTCCATTGATCAAAGGAAGAACTGCAAACAAGAAACACTTTCAAATCTTGTGAATCACCATACAAAAAATATATCCATCTACTCCTAAGCAAAAACAGATACTACAAAATCTTGTAAATTTTTCCTATGGAAACACAAATTGTCCTCGGCTGTTCTATTTTTGCTGTTAGAATAACTTTATGGTCAGAAGGCAACACTAGGTATGGCCTTTTCATTTCTTATATAATTATGTATGCATAAAGCTGAGCTTGCCCTGCATAGGCATCAGCTAGAGATGTAAAACCACCCTTTTCTGAGGCACAGAAGTTTGGTGCAACTCAGCTCTCAACCCTTAGTCTAGGCCCAGGATTACGGCTGACTATTTAACCCATACAATTCTACTACTTCTGGACTGACCAGGGTGGTTAAACTTAAGTGTCCTGCATTGTCTGAACTTGCTAGGTTGAGTCTCTTCTAATTCACCTTTGCACTATCTTCTACTACTGCAAATACATCACTACAGCGCTTTAGAAATTGATCTAGGGGGTCATTCAAATATTTGAAAGCCCAGAAGTTTTCTTAAAGGTGGAAAAAGACAAATCAATGTTACAAGGGAAAAACAATGAGCATAAACAACTTGTTAATATACCAAGAAGTCAAATTGCTGCCAGGCAATTGTGGGTGCATCCACATCAGCAACTTCAGTTAGCCTTCTGGAAGGCCC